GAAATCTAGCTGAGAATAAGAAGTCACTCTATGACCGCCAGGACTTTATAGGACTTTCTTACTTTGAACTCGGTGCTGAAGAAATTCCAGAGTTAATCTGATTGTCTTTTCCCGTTGTTCTCACTAATACTATGTTGGTCACTTTGCTCTGTTTAGATCTATAGGGGTCGATCCGACATGTTCGGTGTTCCTCTACATGTGAGGACAGCGAACCTAGTGCACTGAAAATAAACCATCTCTCATGGCGGAGCTTAGATTGAGTTCACATTGAGATGCCCTGTTCGGATATTATATTGTGAGTTTTTTTTATCAAAATATACTCACGTGTCATGGAGTACCATACTGTTAGAGTTACATGGTAATTAATTAGGAACAGATGCGGCGACCATTAGTGACAACTACCCCAATCAACTAATTCTCGAAAATCCATGAGCATTTTCGTCTCTCACCATGTGCAAATTTGTCCAGAAAATAACAACACACCGAGATGCGTATCCATCCTTATCCAGTTTCATGTTCACACTTGATCCGAAACTCAACTGATCTAGTTGCATGTTCATCCTCAACACGCAAATCGCCCGGACTCAGTTGCATGTCCACCCTCGACCCTTCAACCGGAACTAACAGACCCAGGTGTCTGTCCACCCTCGATGCACAACTTGTCCTGACCCAGTTGGATGCTAGCCCTTGACCCGAAACTCAACCCGCCCAGATACATGTCCACCCCTCGACATGCAAATATGATTATTTTATTTTATTTCCTTTTTGAACTTTTATCTTCTATATCTGACTTTTTGTATTTTCAAATACGTGCAGCGCGTTTAAAAGAGATTTTGATCGCGTATTTATAAAATTTTCATCATAATTTAAAAACAATGAAATGATCTCATCTTAAAAAATGTTCGCCCTGCATTTTTAAATGGTTTATTATGCATTTTAGAAAATATTTCCCGTGTATCTAAAATAGGTAGTTTTAAAAAATCATGAATGTTCTTGGAATTTAAAATAAGTAAATTCATGAACATATTTTAAAATCAATTATTTTTTATAGTTCATGAAAATATTTTAAATTCACAAATATTTTTTATAGTTCAAGAAAATGTTTTTTTACTTTACTTTTCTCTTTCTCTATATGTTTTTAATCTGATTTTCGATCTTTTTATTTTTTTTCCTTATGTTTCTTTCACTTCGTATTTTTCAAAATACGTGTTAACTTTTTAGTGCACATTGTAGATTCTTTCATACAAGAAAAACATTGTGTCCATACACATTGAACATTTTTATAACATATGATGAACATTTTCTCATAATACATAGATAATTTTTCAAATATGTGTTAAATTTTCCAATACACGTTGAACATTTTTTTGAATGGTAGAAAACATTTTTCATAAATATCACGAACATATTTTTAAATGCATGACAAATTTCTAAATGTCACGAATTTTTTTTTGAATGGTACAATGCTTCAAAAAATTGTGCGAGTAAAATTTGTACACTTTATTAACATTTTTTTAATGTGTGATGAATAGCAAAATATCTATAAATGTTTTTTCAAACAATTTTATTTGAAATATTTCAAAATATAAATAAAAAATAAAAAGAGAAAGAGAAAAGGACAAAAATGGTGTGTAGTATGACGATGTACGTGCTTGTGGGTGCTGCCCATTTAAGTAGCGTCAAATGCAACCCTATGTACCATCCCGCCAGATGCAAGACATAGAGGCATCCATGCAAAAGGGGCGCGGCTATACGTCGCTTCTAGAGGCATAGACGGCCGCCTCGCCTACAACAGAGGTTGTAGTGGTGGCTGGTGCTTGCCGTCTTCTCCGATAACAGCGTCGGCTTCTCCAGAGTATGCGGGTGTCTTGCAGTGTGGTGTGAGGATGGCGGCTTGCGGCAACACTCTTCTTCTCTGATCACTTTGGATGAAGACGACGTCGTCATGATTTGGCACTCTTGGGGATGATCCCCCGACCGACGTGGCACAAATACTCCGTTTAATCGCCTTCGACAGACTGTTTAATCGGTTCACAGGGCAGTGCGGTCTGCAATGAAGTTCTTTGGTGTGGAGGCTATTCGCGTCTTTCTCTAGCAATGGCATGATGGCAGCGGTGATAGACGACAGGTGATGATTAGGTTGGGCATATGGATTTCCCAAAGAAAAGTTGTAAAAAAAAATTTGGAGCCCTTTGTGCAAATCTCTAGGACACTAGGCCCTTTTTTTGTCTCATGGAGTGACCACATATGTACTCACTGTAATTTGTTTGTTTAATGGACAATGTAGTAATTCCTCTCTCTCAAAGAAAAAAGAGGTTGTAGTGTGCTGGCCCAGGTAGTTTGCATTCCTTGTGATGCTACATTCGTCTCGTGGTTGTTTTCTATCATTAATTTTATTTATATTTCTGAAACAAAAAGTATCATATATAATTTTGGAAGAATGTTTGTAGCGTGTTCAAAAAATGTTGATGCAGTCTTAAAAGAATTTTGCGGAACTTTAAAAAATGTTTAGAGCTTTCAAAAAAACATTCGTACATATTTAAAAATGTTCGTTTCAAAATAGAATGTTCTTGAAAGTTTTGACAAATGCATATACAATGTACACAAATTTTGCATAAATAAAAAAATATTAAAATTCAGAAAATTGTATGTGACATTTTTGCAAAATTTATACATAATGTAAAGAAACGTTTGTATAGTTTTAAAAAATGTCTCATGCCAAGAAAAATAATCTACATTTATTGAAAATATTTAACATGTATTTAAACAATGTTCAAAGCAAGTATTTTTGAAAAAAAATGTACATCATGCATTTGAAAATGCTCAACATGTACCGAACTGTTTTTTACGCGTGTATATGAAAAATACTCCCTCCATATCTATTTACTTATCATATTAACTTGTCTGAAGTCAAACTGATCAAGTTTGTAGAGATAAATATTAGCGTATACAATACCAAATCAATGCCATTGGATTCATCATTGCATTTTCACATAATATTGATTCTTTTATTGTAAATGCATATATTATTTTGTAAACTTGGTCAAACTTTATAAAGTTTGACTTCAGCAAAACTTAATATGCGGACGAAATAAAAATGGTGGGAGTACAAAACTTAATATGCGGACGAAATAAAAATGGTGGGAGTACAATGTGTATTGGAAAAGGTAGTCATGTATTTTTTTTAAAAAAAAGAGAAAAAAAACACTTAGAAACAAAAGAAGAAAAAAAAACCGCATGGGAGGGTGTAAAACCGATCCAAACCGGTGCATACAACCTTTTTAAAACCATTACATGGTATACAACATTGGCCGGCTCACTCCCACGCGCCCAGAGGAGACAGAAGGATCTCTCTATATGACGGGCGAATATATAGCCCTCAGCGGTCACACGTGCTACTACTCCACCAGATCGTTCCCCATTCGCACCTCCTCACTCAACGCTCCTCCACGTGCTCTGCCGACGAGATCCACCGACGCCACCCCCACCAACTCAAAGTTTGTGCCCGTCCTCGACCTGGCGGCGTGGTCAATGGTCGTTGACGATGTAGATGCTAGAGCCCGGGTTGGGGGTGGCGGCCTTGCTGGCAAAGCGCTGCGTCGAGGCCTGGATTGGGGCGCGGCCTTGCTAGAGGAGAAAGATGGATGGGAGAAAGGAAGAAAAAAAAAATCTCGGTAATGAATGGGTAGCTCCCACAAGATAGAGTAAATTTAGATAAATTTTACGGTGTTTACACTTTGACAATTGCTGTCCAACCATTAATTTGTTTTTACGGTGCAGCTTGTAGGTTTTGAATCTTCTTCTAGAGTTCCTACCTCCTCCAATAATGCAAGCAGCAGGCAGGCAGGCAAAGCTGCAGGGGGCTAATGAATGGCAATGAAGACACCGTCCATTAATTCTCCACCGACCTGCTGCCGCTCTCCTCATCTCACTCTTTCTTCAGCTCGCGAGCTTGCAGCCACTCCTTCCCCCGCCGGCCAGCTTGCAGCAGCAGCTCTCCTCTCCCGCCGGCCGCCGCCAGTCCGCTATCCCCATCTATTTTCTCACAAACACCACACCAGTACGTGCCCCACTCCACCGCGCCTCCGCCGGCCGTTCGTCTCTCCCTCTCGCTCTGCGTTGCGCTCCGTCAATCAGAATCAGGGACCCCCTTTCCTTATCCGTCTCGGCTCGGTTCTCTCTGTATTTTATCGGGGATCTAGAATTCTAGGGTTCCCCTTCCTGCAAACAACCGAGGCAGGCAGGCAGATAGATCCGCTTTCTCCTGTCCCTGCAACTGCAAGCTGACCCACCCAGACCCAGGTGATGATCCGTCCACAAACCATGCAATCTTTGCATATTTCTATTTAGATAGTTACTCCCCCGTCTCAAAATAAGTGTCTCAACTTTGTACTAGCTCTAGTACAAATTTGTACTAAGTTCAAGACACTTATTTTGAGACGGAGGGAGTATTTGTTAATTTGTAGCTACATACTTGGGTCCATCTGCTGCACCAACTGCTTAATTGCATTCTGATTACTCAGCGTACTCTGCTCATAACGCCGCCTGTTTTTAACTGTATGTATATAGGCATGCATGAATATGTTCTCATATAGCTACATCGGTCCATCTGCTTGCATTGTGAATTTGTGATTAATCTGCTTGCATCCCACCCTTCTCCTTTTTCACTAGGTAGGCAGGTACCTCCATCGCCTTCGCTATCTCCAATCTGGGAAGCTGCTGCTGCTGCTGCTTATCTGGATCTGCACTCTGCGGATTCATCATTCAGTTGATCGCTGCTCTCCGCCAAACCAATTTTTTAACCACCATTTTGCTGCCCCAGGCTCGCAGCACAGCAAGGTGGGCCAAATCAGAATTACTGCTTTCTATTTGCATTAGTTTGTTCTCTAGTGGCATATATCCAGATATACTACTTCATCAGCTACCCGAGTAACTAGGATTTGGGCTCGTGTGATGAGTTTGCTCTTGTTTACAGGTTAATCACATAGTACTAACTCCCAATGGCAGAACGGAAAGCACGGAGAGACCTGGAGCGGATGTTAGTCGACGAAACCGCGGAACCCAGAGCCCTGCCATTATCTCTTTTGGAGGACATCACCAGAGATTTCTCTCATGCCCATGAGATTGGAAGGGGTGGATTTGCAGTGGTTTATAAGGTATACATTCCAATCTTAATCAGGGATGCTAGATTTGAAAACCGATGCTAACACCTGTGAATGATAGGGAATACTTGGGGGTGATATAGCGGTCGCCGTGAAGAGATTAACGAATGCTTTTATGGATGAAATGGAATTTCACCGAGAGGTTGAATGCTTGATGCGGGTAAAACACAAAAATGTAGTAAGATTTCTGGGATATTGTGCTAACAGACAAGGAACTATGGAAACGTATGACAATAAACTTGTCATGGCGGATGTCCACCAAAGGTTGCTTTGCTTCGAATATATACCACAAGGAAGTCTTGATAAGTACATCGTCGGTACGACCATGCAGCCTCTAACTCTTCTTTTTCTTTATTTTTAGTTCCTATGCTACAAATTCTACTATTCAAAAGTTAAGACATCAAGTATCTCATTATAAAACACTGTCTTCCTTCCCCCCTCAATAGATGCACACCGTGAGTGGGGAACCTGCTATAGAATAATCAAAGGGATTTGTGAAGGTCTACAATACCTTCATGAGAATAATATTATTCACTTGGGTCTGAAACCTGCCAATATACTGCTCGGAAATAACATGGTACCAAAAATTACCGATTTTGGACTGTCAAGATGCTTCGACGAAAATCAAAGCCGGCATATTACCACAACTATATTAGGAACATTGTAAGCTAGCTAACTCCTCTTAAAAACTTGGTATTTTGTGCTCTGTGATTTAAATTGCCATCTCTTTGTACATTAACTGTTCCTACATTTTATATTTTTATACAGAGGATATTTGGCACCAGAATTTCGCGACGGGGGTGTAATCGCACGCAGTGCTGACTTGTATAGTCTTGGTGTTATTATCATTGAAATACTGACCGGACAGAAGGGTTATCAAGATATTGGGGATGTAAGAACAATATATACCATTGCTATAAAGATAAAAAGCTCATTTTTTCACGGCTAAGAACGGCCAACTTCAAAATAATTGTGGCGCTTTTACCTTGCATGTTGTCATTACATTTTACTTTGAGATGTTACCTGATATTATTTCTGGAAGCACACCACAATTTGGGTGCTAAAGAATCAGCACTTCACATTACTTTTTAGAATCCAGGCAAAAAAAGTTTACTTTTTAGAGGATCTTCTTTATTAGTTTGATTTTTCATTTCTAATTGTGTAATTTACACGGGGTGATAGATATCCCTCGAATCTATTGGGACATATTTACTTTTAGAACATTTTTGTTGTTAGTTTCATGGTTGGATGTTTGTGGTATGTTTATACATATGTAATTTTCCTATATAGAAAGATGTTGATCATGCATTTTGTAGACCATAACTCATCTCTATAATTCTTAGGTACTGGACAGTTGGAGTGATAAGTTGGAGAGATCACAACAAGACACTGGGTGCGAACAAATACGAGTATGCTATGAGATAGCTTTAGAGTGCATAGACTTCAGTCCAAAAAAGAGACCGGCTAGTGTGCGGAATATAATTGATAGGCTTCATGAAATGAGAAGTGTCCAGGTATGTTCCAAATTTAAGAGTTTATGTACTTCTTTGATTCTGAGTTGCTAGAGATACCACTTGGATCCTTGCACTGGAACCATTTGAGCTGCTAAAGTATGAGATTTTGTGCTCGAGGAACTGGGGACAGGAGTCCCTTGAAGATAATTGCTTTACTCGTACATCCATGTTTCACTGCATAGTAGTTTTAGAATTTTTGTCAACCAAACATTTTAGGTTTCACCATCAACATACTTCATTCATTCATTAAAAAATTCATGGTGTTTCAGATTTGCATATTCAGGTGTCGTGATTGCATGAAATATTTAATTAAAATATTCCTTCCTGTTCTGCGTGCAGAACCCCGGTTTTGCCAACGATGAGCTGGCCACCATCCGCAAGGGCATTGATGGCTTCCACTTCAACATCGACCTTGGCCCCTACGAGGAACGGAGGAGGTCGCCGACTAGTTCGGCCTCCTATTCCAGGCGCGAGAATGCGCAGTTCGTCCAGTCAGATCTCGTGGGGGATCAGATCAAGAAGAATACAGAGGAACTGGAGCATAAGCTAATCGCCGATGGCCACCACGAGCAATGTAGCAGCGCCGTCAGGGTGGTGGCCATCGTTGGCCAGGGTGGCATAGGCAAGAGCACCCTCGCCAAGAAGGTCTTCGCCAGCGAGGCCATCAAGGAGGAGTTCAAAATCAAAATATGGCTGAGTGTCGCTCAGCAGTTCACCACGGTGGACCTGTTAAGGACCGCCATTGCCCATGCCGGGGGGGAGCACTGTGAGGACAAGGACAAGACCTTGCTGGTGCAGGCCCTCACCGACGCCCTGTCAAAGAAAAAGTTTCTGTTGGTCTTGGATGATGTGTGGAACAAAGAAGCGTGGGACCGTGTGCTCCGAGTCCCTGTTCTTAATGCCGGCACTACACAACCTGGAAGCGGAGTGTTGGTTACCACAAGAATGGAAGGCGTCGCTCGGAGCATGGGAGCTTCCATCCTGCGTGTCAACCAACTAGGTGATGAAGATGCTTGGTGCTTGCTAAAGAAGCAGCTGCCTCAGCCACAGGTCAGTAGCTCATCAATACGTATACTCCTTCCATTATACAAACAAGTACAATATTTTGGACATCATTTAGTCAAACTTTATCTAGCAGTACTTGTTGCACATTTTGGTTGGATGTATGACAATCATATGTGTACGTTTGTATATCAATTTTATTATATTTTAAAGTTTTATTAAATATTTTCTCCAATTTTGTTTACAACAATGGCTTGACCGCCAACAAATAACTTCGGCTGCTGCTTTTGATACATAATATAGGTTAATGGAAAATTGTATTACTATTATTCATGACAAATTGAATGTTTCCATTTTCTTATGGCAAATTGTATGGTATCCGATACGATGTGCTAGTTGCTGCATGTATCTGTGTTTTTTAGTTACGGATGAACATAAATCCTACCTTGCCAAGAAAATGAGAACTTTGATTTGTGAGGATATGAACCCATAATCAGCCAAATCAAATTAAAATGGAAAAGTATAGATAGGAAAATATTTAGTTAGTAAGATTTTGAGTTATTTCAAAGTTCTGTATTTTGCAAGTTGGAAAGCTATGTTTCAGGTCTTAGTTTTGAATTTAGATATAACTAGATTTTGTGAATTTTGGAATTTTTTAATTCTGATTATGTATAACACCATTTTTCATCTACACATATGCTGTTTTGATCAAAGATACTTTTCTTCTTTTCTGTTCAAAAAGATATAGCTCATACCTCAGTACTAAGTTACTAAGTTGGACCAGTGCTACGTAGTGTTAGAATACTATGTATTTGAATATAAGTTATTTATCATAAAAAAGAAATGCAAACTCATGTATTTACGAAGATGTAGAAATGCAACTATGGATATTACCGTTACTAAGTTGTCCTATATTGTTGGCAGGTCGGTGTTGGAAGTGATTTTGATGAGCTGAAAGATATTGGGATGAAGATTGTAAAAAAATGTGATGGGTTACCACTTGCTATTAAAGTTATGGGTGGACTCTTAAGCAGAAGAGATCCTAAGGAACGTGACTGGGAGATTGTTTTATACAAGAATCTTTGCTGGAGAGAAGAAGACGGTTCACAAGAGGAACTAAACTACTCAGTAAGCTTGAGCTATGATGATTTATCTCCAAAGTTGAAGCAATGCTTTCTGTACTACTCACTTTTGCCAAAGGGTTCAGGTTTTGAAAAGGATACAGTTATTAGCATGTGGATTAGTGAAGAGTTTGTTCAACATGATGGGAGGTCGGGGTCAGACCAACTGGATCTTGAAGAAATAGGGGCTGAGTATCATCGGGAGTTAGTCGCTAGGAATCTTTTGGAACCAACTGAGAGCATATGGGTCTACAACTTGCATGATGTTGTCCGCTCGTTTGCTCAGTTTATTGCTAAAGAAGAAGCCTTTGTGGTTCACAAGGATCAAGCTGACATTAGAACTTTTTTTCCAGAAAACAAAAGGTTTCATCGTCTCTCTATAGAATTAACTGATTCAGAACTAGAGTGGACCATCCTCGAGAACCAAGATACATTGAGGACATTATTGCTAAACTGTCAGATCAAACCTGGTGGTTCAATGACACATTTTGCCAGTCTACGGGTATTGGATATATGCTGCGAGGAATGTGATTGGTTATTAGACTCTTTGTGTGAGCTGAGGCAGCTAAGATACTTGTCATTCTCCAGTACAAACATATCTTGGCTCCCAGTTGACATCCATAAGATGAGGTTCCTTCAGCATATTCGGCTCAACGATTGTAAAAAGTTGGAAAAGCTTCCTAACAACATCACAAAACTAGCGCGTCTAAGATATCTTAACATATATGGGTCCAGTGTAGAAGTTATACCAAGAGGGCTTGGTGGTTTAATAGATTTGAGATTCCTTCATGGGTTTCCAGCAAAGATGGATGGGGACTGGTGCACTTTAGAAGAGTTAGAGGCTCTTTCACATCTTAGATTTCTTGCAGTCCAAGGTCTAGAAAATGTGTCTGGTAGCTCATTTGCTAAAAGGGCCAAGATTAGCAACAAGAAGAATCTACAAACTTTGGAGTTAATTTGCTATGAAGAAAGTGATGATGATGATGATGATGATGATGATGATGAGGTTGATGAGGATGATGATGATGATGATGATGATGATGATGATGATGAGGAGGAGGAGGAGGAGGAGGAGGAGGAGGAGGGGAAGCCGATTGAGAAGGACCAAGCAGGAAAAGAAGTGCCCCAAATTGGTCTGGAGCAACAAGAGAGAATAGAGGCTGTATTTGATGAGCTCTGCCCTCCACCAAAATTGGAGACACTAAGAATATCAAGATATTTTGGTCGTCGACTACCAAATTGGTTGCAGTCCCCAGCGGCAACAACTTTTAAGAGCTTGAAGAATATTTACCTAGTGCACATAACCCACTGCACACGACTACCTGATGGTTTGTGCAGGATGCTCGGTTTGGAAAAAGTACTGATCGAGCATGCTCCAGCCATCGAGTATGTCGGGCATGAGTTCCAGACCCATGATGCAGCAAGGGGAGAGGGAGGTGTCGCTTTTCCATGTTTGAGAGAATTGGATTTGTACGGGCTGTCGGGATGGAAGGAGTGGGACTGGGAGGAGGAGCCGCAGAGCAAAGTCATCGCCATGCCTGCCCTGGAGCATCTCAATCTCATGTACTGCAATCTGGCACACCTTCCCCCGGGACTTGCTAGTCACCGCAGGCAGAATCTGAGAATTATGTACCTACAGCATCTCACGCTCCTAAATTGTGTGGAGAATTTCCCTTCGGTTGTGGAGCTCAATGTGTACGACTGCCCTGAGGTCAAGAGGATCAGTGGCCTCGCCAAGCTGCGGACGGTCGACATCTACGATTGCCCAAAGCTGAAGCTGCTGGAGGGTGTGTCGGTGCTGGACAGCCTGGAGCTGGATGAGGAACACTGGGAGGTTAGTGGACCAGATGCCACGTGTACACCCAAGGGACATCAAGCCCAAGACCAAGTGCTCCCGGAAGACCTTGTTATAACCAGGTGATAGCTAGCTTTGGACCCGGTGCTGAGATGAACAATTTCGCCCTTCCCCTGTACTGTACTTGTATTTCTGGATTGTTTGAGGAGCACACGAGTGCATGCAGCAGTATTGTTGCTCACCTGGAACATTTTACTACTACGTAGTTAGTTGTGTTTCTCTCACTCACAAATACTACTACTTGCTGTGATTGCTTGTCAGCCCCTATTAATGTTCAAGTATGATTGTAATAAGAGAGTGTAATTCTCGATCGTTTTGAGCACACAAAATAGTATTGGAAATGGTATGGGTCAACATGTTATTTGTTTGTTCAGTTGATCAGGCTTGGTTCTCACACAGGTAAGCCGTTCTGAATTTGCTTGGAACCATTCATTTGGGTTCTACTGCTGAAGCCGTTGACATCACCAATGAGTACCTGCGCTGCGGCACATATCCATTATAAACTTACACATTTTTCAGTTCACTTCATTTCCAGTATGCTATATATGACAAATTTTATCTACCACCAGTGGTAGTTACCACCATTCGAGATTTATATGTTGTATGTAATATTTATCAAATCGGAGAGTATGTACGCATAGTTATGTTGTATATAAGAATGTTTAGGTAGTATATATAGTACTTTTTAGGTAGTATGCATCGTATTTTTAGTATGCTCCGTTTTACGTACAAATATATACGTATTTCACAAATGTAATAAAAACCATGGGCCAACTTACAATTTTTTCATGTTACCCACTTTGGATTATCTTATATACAATATATGAACATACTTATAATGATAAAGTAGAGAATGACGGGGTCCGTACCTGTTTCAGAAGATTCCTTGCAGACTTCAAGCTTCAAATTGGCACTCCCAGTTCGGCAAATTTTTGTGTCTTGATCTTTTTGTCAAAGAAAATCAAGATCTGATCCTACTTCATTTTTTTTTTGAAATCAGACCAAAACTAAGATAGGTGGTGGATCGACTCCATGTGCTGGAGAGGCTTACAAGTGTCGCACTCTAAGGTTCTATACTAAGATAGGTGCACAACTCACTGAAGAAATTACAGAGTCACGTTCTAATTTGCTTGTCGATTCTTCTCTTGGCTCAGATCTAGGTTAGGCATCGACCTGAGATGTGCATCTACATGTGATCTCGGTGGACATAATGTGCACCGAAAACAAATCATCTCATGGCAGAGCCTTAATTGAGACCTTAGTGGAGATATGCCATATTGGGATGTTACATTGAGTACTGTAGTCCAGATGAAAAATATATTAATGGCACTCGCGTAAAGTACCATACTGTGTTGAGTGACATGGCAATTAATTACGGACCGATGTGGTGACCACTAATGACATCTACCCCAGCAACTTAATTCTCGATGGAACAATCTATGGCACTCTGCCACTCTCGTCTTTCCCTATATGTAAGTCAAGAAAGTGACAACACCGAGAGATTCTCTCTTAATCTATTTGAAGTACCAAATCATTTCTCTTTCAAATGGTTGAAGGACTGCAAATTAGTTTTCATCATAGGGTTAGCTGCACAAAACTTTCAAAACTCGATCCATGTTGATATATTTTGACCAATATTTTTTCAAGTATCAGGTTGTAGTTGGTGTGTTGCGAGAACATCGCTTGCACGCATTTAAAACTTGTGTATGGTCTGATACCATCGCTTATTTCCCTATAAGAAATCAATACTCCTAGTATGCCCTTGCATACCTGAAAGGCATAATGAAGGGTTTTTGTTAGCTAGTGTCTAGCAAATACTCGCTACTAAGGTGGTGGTTGTTAAGTACAAGCCTTTTGTTACAAGCCTAATAATTAATTAAGTACCATACTACAATTTGGTAGTTGATGAAATAAAATATGTTCAAGTAGGATCTAGTTTCGATGCACTCGACGAGGCAGGCCCAATGAAAAATGTAACATAATTCAGATTAAGGATTTGCGCGGTCAATCATTTTGTTACTTTTACATAACATGTAACTCAGTTAGAATTTTGGGTTAATTATTAGTAAATCTCCTTCGAATCTCTGTTTCTTTTTGTAAGGCGTTTCTTAAGGGTTTAGAGAATCTCCCAGGAGACCCCTCAAACCTCCTTGAGATGTCTGGACGCTATCCACACAAAAAACATCGACCCAATGGGCCTCCTCAAACCATCCCCATCTGTCTGGAGGGTCCGAGCCTCTCTAAACCATGCCCAAATGTGGGGCGGAAATGAGGTTGTCCAAACATGTCTACCATGTTGGACCGGACAATCCGACCCCCAACCCTCCCTCCCCCGCGCGCGCTCAAACCCTATCCACTCGTTGCCGATAAATACAACTCTCAGCCTCCCCCACATCCATGGTGTTTACCGCCC